TAAAACTATTAATTCACACTAGTCACCATACTAGTTCTGCTTCACAAAGTAATTACTGTAGCATGTGCTGCTGGTTAAGATACGACTTCATAAGTACATTTAATTACCACATCTCTAGCTTACCAGTGAAGTCTCTGAAAGGCGTGCTCACCCTGAAGTCATGCTTGCTATGAATGCTCACATTTGACTTGGGTCATCATTTTTCTCCTTTCTATTGGCTTATCGTTTGACAATGTACGCTGTATTCCCGTAAAAGGTCAACTGCTGTTGTGTTTTTTTTCCTGTCTACATTTTTTAACAAACATACTCTCTTCTCCACAATTATGTTTCTTGTTATCAAAGTCAAAACTCACTTCACGTGCGATGGTTTAGAGGGTAAGACGTGCAGATGTGACGAAGCAGCATTGAAAATGAGGAACTTCATATTAAAAACTGTATTCCTACAGGACTTATAGAGCAAAGCAAGAGCTTAATAATTTGATACAGCTTTTTGTTTGCAGTTAAACTGAGATAAGTATACTAGGTTATATTAAATTAAATCCATATTTTATCTTTATGAAAAGATAGTTTTTATTTTTTTTAAACAAGCCTTTTTTTTATATATATTAGAATGAAATTTAATTTAATCGCAGCATTTAGTTCAACACTCGTGTCTATTATCTGATGCATTTTAATATTTTGAGAGTGTGTGTGTCTATATTTGTAGACCCGTGATTATATTCTAAATATTAACTGAATTTGTTTGTTTATATTAGTGGTTTCTAAGAGATAGAAAATTATTCTTAGTGGCATTATTTGCTATAGTTTAATTCTAATTGAATCCCATGAGCCCAAGTGAAAAGGTTTACCTGCGAGTGGTGTGTTGTCCCCTACATTCACAACAGAAACTTAAACTACTCTTGTGATATCCAAGAAAAAAGGACGACAATCTGGTCTCTTTTTTTCAGCTTTATAATTTTTTTTTGTAAACGCCATTCCCTTTTGAAAACCTTAAATGTTGACATTTCACAAATGTTTGTAAAGCAAAGTAATGCTTATAAGAAACAATAAAAACCATTATAGAAAATGTGTTGGTTCATATTAAAACATTGAAAACATAGTTTACAATTACAATGCCTAGTAAACTACAATAGTTTGGATGTTTTCCTTTTGTTTCTCAAGACATAGTGCCACTGTAACTGTCATTGACTTTTGTAATGAAGCTTTTGCATTATTTCAGAACGACCCTTTTCAATTACAGAGTAGTTATCATTGAATCAGCAGGTTGGATCCCCTACTTACAGAGTAGTTAACATTGAATCAGCAGGTTGGATCCCCTACTTACAGAGTAGTTCACATTGAATCAGCAGATTGAATCCCCTACTTTGGATAATGTTCATGTCATAAAGAATGTCAAGACTGGAGTTGCCACGGTTGAGTGGATGGGTTAGCTCACGTTGGTTGCTGTCCCACGCATAACGAATAGTGAGTAGATTTCTTGTGCGTGTCACAGTAACACGATGTGGCGCCCTGGTCAGCCCTTTGCAAGATAAGTCAATAAACTGCACTTTGGACAGCTTCGAAATACTTGCAACGCCAACGTCACGCGCCCTTATCAGCCTTGTGAATTGTTGCATCTTTGTATGTCCCAGTTGAATGAGAAGTACTTATTGACCTACAACATAATGGGTGATGATAAGCACTTATAACCTAATGGACGATGATAAGCACTTATAACCTAATGGACAATGACAAGCTTATATTTAAAATCTTCAGAGAGATCTAGTACAGTTAATCTAAATTTGATAGTTAATTTTGTATTTAATTTATTCAATGATCGATCTACCACAGACTGCGTAGTAGCCAATATAAATCAACTTTGGCTCTATTTTACTTCCTTCTAAAAGTATTCAAAGAAAAAAACACTTTTTTTTTCGCTTTTAACAAGCCCCTCACTAAATGACCTTTTCGTAACAAAGATAACTTGGGTAATAAAAATAATAATAAACCAAAAGAGCCACAGGCCCACTAGAAGGATGACTGTTAAACTTGTTTGTTATCATTAACACTTTTTGTTTTTCACTTTACTCAGAAGAAAGCCTATATTACGTAGTGAGGTGTGTCCAGTAACATATGCCTACTCTTACAATATATATATATATCTTTCAAAGAAATGTTGGTATGATTAACAATGTATCATTTTAATCAGCGTTTCTAAAACTGAACTATGAGTGACACACGGACTCTTCAACATATCAATTGAGCAGTACTTGGAAGACTTTTCGATACAGGCGAACAACAGAAACAAACAATTATTCAAAGATAACGGTGAGTACACATCAAATTATAATAAATAAGGAATTCTATTGCACCTTAAGTATCGAAGCAGTTCAAGCAACTAACTTAATTTCATAGTGTTGTGGCACGAGTTTTTTTTGTTTCATAGGGAAGGAATGACGCGACTAGTAAAAACAAGAATTGCAGTTTAGGAAAAATAGGGAAATGTAAACAGACTATTTCTGAAGGCTTTAGAGAGAGGCAGGTTTTAAAAATGTAGAGATTTAGCTTGACGACATTCGACTGTCCCCTTCGTTATTATTAAACTTCTTGTTCGACATTCGCTGTCAGCATCGACTAACTTATCTTGTTGGTCTTTCGCCTGTGTTACTGGATCTCGTTATTTGAGTGTTACCTTCGTTTGATTTATCAGCATGAGACACACTGCGGAAGTGCCTAACAACAGATACGAGATGAAAACACGAGGCTCATTTGTCCGCATGAACGGCAAATGCTGATACAGTTTGGGATCAGTGGATTCGCAGGCTCTGCCAGGGTGTCCAACTGTGTGCCGCAAGCTGCCTAAGGGTCGCCGGCTTCTAACTTTTCCTCAGGGTTGTCTCCGGAAGTCTTTCCCATATTTGGGTTTAGCTTTAAGGCCGCGGAGGTTCGAAGGCTAACAAGCCGATCCTGCACGAAACTTAATGGTTACTCGCCTTTGCTCTTTCTCCTGTCGGTGATAACAGTTCTGATTGACTCAATAACTAAGCTACACGTGAAGGCCATGAGATGGACTGGTAGTCAAAGGTTATTTTAGGAGCATGCAATGGAGAGCATTTTATAGGCAGTTGGGTGCTTATATCCATGACAACGGAACCGAATAAGGAGTTACTACAGTTGGAATAAACTTAATTATAATTGCTTTAGAGCATAGTACTTAGTGAACAATAATTAATTACGTTTCACATTTTTAACATATGAGATACAAACACGCCTAATAAACACGCCTAATGTAGAAGAACGTTTACTATATAGATACCCAAAACAACTATATATGAAATATTATTACGTAGGTAGTTTACAAACTTCAATAGTTCAACGAAGGCCAGCTCATCGCCCAGCCTTTGAAGTTTTTATGAATGGTACAGAGTCACAATTAAGATAAAGAAAAAGACGGAGAGACAGACAGGCAGACAGACAGACATATAGATAGATAGATAGATAAAAAGATAGATAGATAGATAGATAGATAGATAGATAGATAGATAGATAGATAGATAGATAGATAGGACATCTCTCTCCTCAAATAAAAAAAAAGGAAATATATTTAGCTTGACAGATGTCTATCACAAGAAACCAAAAAGAAACAACCAAACTTACTTTCCTATATACTGCACCACTGTTGATCTTCATATAATGTAGATATAAAAATTCTTTTAAAAAAAAAACGCTTACATTAAAACATATTTGTTATCAGGCTGAACAACTTGAATTCAAACTTGAGGGCTCAAGGTTTCTCAAGCCGATGCGCATCTCAGTCGAAAGACCGATGGTGGCGTGTTACGGAGAATTGAACTAAGATAGCCATGGATATTGATGTCTCATTGTATCATTGTGACTTTGGTTCAAGAAATGAATAAAATGTATTCCCGACAATTTTCCTAAAGATCATTACAAACACATGTAGAGGAATGAAATCTCTAATCACGCACCAACCGCAGTAACAATGTGTTCACAATAAAGTGTCATCTGTCTCATATCAACGTTGACACATTGGAGTAATGAAAAGAGCAAATAATTTGTTATTTCTTAATCTACAAGTACCAGGTTTCAAACTGTTTGTTTTTCTTGTTTTTTTTAATTTGGCATAATATCTCTCCGTTATATTTTTTATGTGTATTTCCTTGTTCCTTTCTTCTTATATGATTTTTAACTGACCCGGAAAGGGGAGAAGCCACAATTAGTTTTGCGTGGCCTGCCTGTCCGTTCATTAAGATCTCAAAAACTTGGATTGATTTTGAAAATCCGATATCAAAATATCTTACATCTTTCAAAGCTTTGGTGCAACTTTTTTTTTTCTGTTCTTAAAGGAATACATTTAATATTTTAATCATGTATGCCGACAACTGTTTACTAAAAAAAATACACTATTTTCACAACTATTTACAACTATTAATAATTACAAAAATACATGCGAGAAAGCGGCCATGCTTTTTCAACATAGAATTTCCTATATATTTTGTATAATATTTTTGTGCTATATTAAAACAATCTTTTCTTGGATTGGAGCACATAAAAATAATTTCTTGGTAACGAAACAAAATATGTTGACTTAATGGTTTTAAACAAATTAACAACTCTAAAAGAACATTTCATAGCTAGTCGATAGTGTATGATCTGGGGCGGACAGGTTTAGATCCGAACTTCCATGGGGCTCAGGTGTCCATGCGACTTGACGTTTGGAAGATGTAGTTTAGACCATTCTGCTGGCACAACGTTAAAAGATTTTAACATCAGTTCTTCAAAAGTGTCTTCGTAATCATCTTCTTTTTTGAAGTAACGTCTGTATTACATAAGATAAGCACATACAATAATTGCCTGAGAAGGAAATAAAAATTGTTGATTTAATTATCAAAACAAACAATTTGACAACATTTAATTGCTAGTCGATCTATTTTGTTGTGCAAAGTCATATGTGGATAGTGCATAATTTGTGACTGATAGTTACTTGGACATATATCTGATTTGTGTATGGCGTCGGGCGAAAAGAGAAGTATTCTAGATCTATGAAAATAGCGTGTTTGCCAGACTTTTCTTAAAAAATAAAATAATAAACATACAAGTGTAGAAAATAAATAGATGATTTATCAAGTTAATAAAGCATATCATAACACTGCCATCCATCCATCCCAATGGCAGGGCAGCCCACGGAGGGCTCTGGGCTATTATAGTACGTTTCTACATTTGGATCTATCCTGGACTTTACATCTCCATGCCCCGGACTGTTAGCTGTTGTAGATCTGTCTCTACGTCGTCAAGCCAACTCGTGGTCTGCCTTTGGAGGCCTGCCTTTGGAGGCCTGCCTTTGGAGGTCTGCCTTTTTTATTTCTTCAGTACTTCAATGAGTTGAGCCAGCGCTAAAACGACTTAGCTCGTCCTAAGTCGCAAAATAAAAGCAGTGTCCAGTTCCAGGAATCGATCGTTTTCCGTTGTGATTTGTACGGGTTTTCTTGTTTTAACACTAGTTTTTATATGACTGATTTGTGGATCCCTCCATTTTTCGCAAGGCAGCAAATTTGATTTTGGGCCACCCCGGGTTTTTTATTTTTTCCCCGGTACCCACTATATCTGGAGGGCCTTCCCCTATCCACCACCTGGGGAAGAGTTCGATTGGATAATGAAAAATCCACACGAGATAACAGTGCAATAGTATAAATACATTTTGTTAATTGCAAAAGATTGTGTAGTGATCAACATAATTAATGTAAATCTTTTTAGGTTACAGACCTATGGTCTTCATTTTGTTCAAGAAGCTTATTTAAAAAAAAATCAACTTATTCTTATTGTAAATTAATTGAAAGAACATGCTTTTGTTTTTGATTTCGATGTAAATTTTATTAATAATCAATGACATTTTACATTCATTTGCAGGTCAACCAAATTGTTTCGAGGATCCTATCGTGTTGTAATTTTTAAGTGCTGGGCCCTGGCTGCCTGGTCGTGCGGTTTGCGAGCTGACCTGACGTTCAGATTTATCGATGTTCCAGGGTTCAAACCCAGCCCGCTCCCATCCCCCGTCGTCCTGCGGGAGGTTTGGACTAGGAAGTAATTATCTTCAACTCTGAAGGAACATCCGAAACATGTCAAACATTTTACAAAAAAATTTAGAGCATATTTTGTTTTTTCTCGCGACATTTCTCAGTAAATTTGGAAGGATCAAGAAAGTACAAAACGAGGGTTGTAATTAGGATCTTGCTTACATACTTGTTTCCCGTTGAGAGAGAGAGAGAGAGAGAGAGAGAGAAAGAGAGAGAGAGAGAGAGAAAGAGAGAGAGAGAGAGAGAGAGAGAAAGAGAAAGAGAGAGAGAGAGAGAGAGAGAGAGAGAAGAGAAAGAGAGAGAGAGAGAGAGAAGAGAGAGAGAGAGAGAGAGAGAGAAAGAGAAAGAGAGAGAGAGAGAGAGAGAGAGAGAAAGAGAAGAGAGAGAGAGAGAGAGAAAGAGAGAGAGAGAGAGAAAGAGAAAGAGAGAGAGAGAGAGAGAGAAAGAGAGAGAGAGAGAGAGAAAGAGAAAGAGAGAGAGAAAGAGAAAGGAAGAGATTAAAAAAAAGTAAGTCATTGGTTAACATTCATGACTAGAGTGACCTAGGAACACGAAGGACTTAATCATCTTTTTTTTTTAATTAATGTCTGATTAAAAAGATAGCGAGGGAGTGATGAGGGAGGCACTGAAAGTAGGAGGGAGAGAGGAAGAGAGAGGGAAAGATGGAGTCAGAGGGAGCGAAGGAGGGGTGTGGATACTGACCTCGAGACACGTTTTTCTGTGACGACGGCCGCCTTAAAAACCCTCACTCCCGCCACCAAGATCTATCACTTGACTCTGCTGACACAATAACGTTGTCTAGCTTGATAGTGATACACTGGAACCCGCTTAATTCCAAATCTCATAACTTCATAATTCGCTTAATCGCATAACATTTGAAGAAAAACACAAACGTTTCAAGCAGACCTTTTTTTCCCCTCATAGTCCGGTTAATTGCACAAGCACAGCTCAGCGACAACTTTGCACTTGAACGGGTTCCACTGCCGTTGATGTTAACCTTTATTCATTTCTTCCTTCCATGGTTGTCTTCAATTACTTGCTGCCAATGTCTTTAGGAAGACAAAAAAAAAGAAGGTAAACAGACGAGGAACAAGTTGGTGCACATGTGGCTACCGGATGTTCAATCCGGTTATTTCACCGCTGAGTACTTTCCACTAGATTTCGTGTATTAAATGCGTGGCCTAGGTCTCAATACGCTATTTCTAAATACGTATATTTTATTCAACACTCTGAAACACATAGAGTAGCAATTTAAACTGTAACACGAGGCCACGCATTGCGCTTTAGTGAATTGACTGATCTTACCTTCTTATTTTATATAATACAGACGTTATTTAAAAAAAGAATATGATTACGTCCTACGCGTCATGCTTCTATTCATGCATGTTAACCAATGACTGCTAAAACACTGGTTTTCCTGGCTGGTTCAGGCAACCCATTCCATGTTCTTATAGCGCTAGGGAAGAAGGAGCATTTGTACACATTTGTCCTAGCATATGGGGCGAGGAATGTGCCTTTATTTTTGTGTCTTTCTGAGTATTTTATTAAATTTTGTTTTTGTATTTGAAGATTATGGTTCAGTGTTTTATGTATTATTGTTACTTTACTTTTGAATCTTCTGCCCTGAAGGCTTTCTAAATTTAGTGATTTTACCAAAGGTGTTACTCTAGTCCAATGTGAATATTTGTTTGTTATGAATCTCACTGCTCTATTTTGTGACTAATCATACGTGTTGGCTTTTATTAGTTGGATACAGTTATATAAATATTGAGTCTATATTATTATAGTAGAAGAATAGTTATATGGTTATACTTTGCTTTCAAAGTAATGTATTTGACTATTTGATGGGACAACGCTACAAAGGAGAGGAAAAAACAAAGGAACAGGGGGGGGGAAGTCAAAATATCCTCAAAGACCTGCTCACCTGGAAGAGATGATGGATTTTGTAACACGAACAGTCACAGCACCAACAAAAAGCAATTCCAGGGACAGATTATCACAGCACCCACAAAAAGCAAATCCAGGGACAGATTATCAAAGCACCCACAAAAAGCAAGTCCAGGGACAGATTATCACAGCACCCATAAAAAGCATGTCCAGGGACAGATGATGATGAATGTTAAAATCGTAATGTTTCTAACCGCCCTTTGATGACTAATAAGGTTACTTGTTTAACGAGGCCATTGAGTTAAGACAAAACTTTCACAGAGATAGATGGCTAACAGCTGATGTAAAAAAAAAAGTAGACTAAATGCTGAGCGTCTATAATTAGAGTTGACTTGTACAAACAATGCAAAAGCGTTACCTAGCAGGCTTTGTTCCACTGAAGTTAAAATCTAGAAAATTTACAGTTGGCTTTGGGCCATACATGTAATATAAATTGAAATGTAGGCCCACAATCTTGTACAAGCTACCTGATTCAGGTGTATTTATAGGACACTCAGAATGATTACTGTTCATTATTCAAGCAGCATAAGTTATGAAAGTAGAAATTGTTATTATAAAGAATAATTATAAAAAATCCTAAATTGAGAACTAAAAGAGTTATATAATCCTCTCTTGATCATTTATATCCTATACGTAACATGCCCCGTAGCGAAAAGTCTCCATAATTTTGTGCTGTTCGTCTGTCATTATGTCTGTCTCTTTTTATCTCGTATATGATTTTACTATCGGCTTATTGTTCAAAAAAATTATAGCATCTGCTACATTTTGTCTCCTGTTTTAAAAATAAAACTTTTATTAAAGAAAGATTATTCTTATATAGTTAGGCTGTTGTATAGTGAACATCACTGAATATATAAGCATTATGTCTTGATATTTGCAAAGAATGTAATAATAATAGAAACAGTTATATATTGTTTTCCGAGAGTGTGTTTTGTTTTTAAAACTTAAGTATGCTTAAAATAAATATGTATATAAAAGCAATGTGTAAAAAAACATTTAATAAGAAATTCTTTATAACCTACGTCGACTATGTTTTATGTTTAAAAAACATTTAATAAGAAATTCTTTATAACCTACGTCGACTATGTTTTATACACGACTTTTATATATAACAAAACAGTAAGTTCTCATGGCCCTTAGGGGCCGCCAATGAGTTCACGTGTAACACAAACTTTTTTTTTTCTATGCTGCTACAATTTAAGTTTAGAATTTTTTTTTGAGGGGATAAAAAGTATTTTTTTACAAGTTTAAATCTCATTATTGTTCTCTCCCTCCCCCTTCCCTTTTCAAATATCCTCTTCAATATCACGTGTCTTAATTTCACGCGCATTTCCAGCTTTGATTGTTCTCTTCTAGTCGAAAAGGATGCCGGGCAACACAATTCCGAGGCCCCTTGTCTGTCTAAACTGTTTAGAGTTGAGTCATGAGATAAAGACATGCCAGAAGGGAGCCCGCGGCATACAGAGAGTGAGCACAACACAAACACAACACAACACGCAAGCACCGCCAAGTCGTCTGCTAGGTCAGTACCTCGCCAAATTAAATCTTCCAATCTGCTCCTTTTTTTTTTGTTTTAGTTTCACTCTTACTTTTGACGTGTACGTATGGTGTGTGTGTGTGTGTGTGTGTGCAACTGAAAGTGTAGATGCTTGTTTGGTCCTAAAATTTGGGCCTAAGTTTTTAACTCAGTTAAACTTGCAAGAGTGAAGAAATAAGCCTGTCCATGATTTTTTTTTTGAGTTGGATAGATCATCCTAAACAGTGAAAAAGTTAAAATTAGTAGTATGCAGATTATGTATATTATTTATCTATTTAAAACATAATAATTCAATGTTTAAGCTTGTACGTTTTGAATAAAAACCAATTTTAAAATGTATAACTTCTTTATATAATTTTGAGGAAATTGAAACTCTTACTTTCGATCAATGTGATACATTTAGAATGTACCTTTATTCTTCAACATTTAGTACACGTGGACAGGGAATAAATAATTGATTACAAAACAAACACTGAAATCTATAAAAGGTATATTAAAAAAACGACAAATTGAAAGGCGATTCGAAGTTAAACTATGTACACTTGCCAACAATTAGCTTCATCTAAGTTAAACCTTTTTTAAGATAGAGTTACTGAAGATATCCATAGAAATGTTGCAAAAATGCATTCTTTTGTAATCAGTGGCATAGAAAGATGCTTATAGTTTGACTGTAACGCTAGGCAGAGCATATATCCTGCAATAGGAACGACCTTCCGCAAGGGTATATACTTTGGCAATCTGAAAGTTGATAGACGTGACTCCCAAAAACGTTTTAAGACCAGCTTAGGCGCGAATCCGCTTGAATTTACATACATGAGAGAAAAATAGATGCAGACAGCTTACGAACAAGGCAGTTGGAGATTTTTTAAATTAACCTCGCCCTATTAAATAGTAGAAGCGCCTATCCTGACATTTTGCGAGCATATCACACATACAAATTTTGAATTAAATCCTAGTCTAGAAATCTGTGACTTGTAGAAATATTACGC